GGAACTAAACCTTCATTATATTATTCACCATGCTGCATTACAACTGATTATGCCACTATCTAGATGGTTTAGACGGCATCTTCATTATGTTAAAAGGTCACTAATACTTATGTGATATTTAAATATTTATGCCGATATCTCAAAAACTATGCATGCTATAAAAAAATAGATTTGATTTATGAAATTAGCATTATATTTTGCGTCTGAAAAGTAACATTTCGAAAAAAATCGAGAACAGGCGATTTTGCAGGTCCTCCTTTATGAAAAATAAAAATGTTAAAATTTTAAGCTTCGGTACAAGTTTGAGTTCGGCTTTTGAAAATTCGCGATTATATCGAAATTATTGATGAATATTGGTGAATTCAGAAATAACAATCTTTTTTGCTTTTCTCAACTTTTCATCGAAATTCGTTAATGCCTTTGATTGGATCTATATATGGCTGATATCGACGTTGGTCAATTGTTTTCGATTTTCTAATCATCGAATTTTCATTTTGAATTTCCACACATTTTCTGCTCTTTTCGTTATTTTCGTTAGGAAAAGTATGTGGCTCTTAACCTCTTATTAAATGATTAGCAAGTTTGTTACAAAAGTCTTGTCATGATTACACGAAACCGTTACGCTGGTTAAATGTTGTCTCATCCCATTAATATCGTCTAACCATTCACCAGACTAAAGCAATTAATCATAAGGCAACCAGGACAATAATAAATAGTGACTTTATTGCAACATGAGAGGCGAGAATCGTCAAAGCGGTAAACTTTTATCATTACTATCATTATCATTCTCTGTCTACTTTCATTACAAAACTCGTCAAGGCATGATGCGTGATAAATTTGTCAAGAAAAATCTAACAAGTTGAATGAGAATAAAGATTGAATAAGAAAAAAGTTGTTTAAAGTTTTGCAGATGAAGAAAGAAAGAAAAGACCGAGAAAAGAAAAGACGAAAAAGAAGAAAAATTTCATGACAGATTTTCGAATGAATTATCGATAATGATTTTTGCAGTTTCATTCATTTCATTCTTTATCCATTCATTTGTTAACCTTTTGCCTTTGCTCTTCAAATTATTGATAACACTTTTTCTTGTCTTTTCATTTTCATTCTTTGTTCATTCATTGTTTCTCCAGATAACTTCAGCAGAACATTTCTCTCTCTCTCTCTTGTACCCATAATCATGAAAATTTCAATCGACTTTTCAGGCTTTTCATTCTTCTCTCCAAACCCATAACTTTATCAATCTCTTTCAATGTATTTTTGTCATTCTTTACACAGCTTAATATGTCAAAGCTTTTCATGTCTTTGATAACTTTTTTGCTCCTTCATCTTCTTTCTTTCCTTTTCATTCTTTCATTTCTATTCCACATTCTATCCCATCATGACAACATCAATTGATCTTAAGAATTGATGAATAGAGAAACAGAGCATGACAAAGTGACATTAACATGTCAAGAACTTGGAAGATTTTCTTTCTTCTTCTTCTTCTTCTTCTTCCATTTCCCTTGAAGCCATGATAAAGATTATTCATTCACTGTATTATCATTATTATTATTATTCCATAACGTCTTGTAATATTAACTTGAATAATAATCTCACAATAAATTCTTACAACAATAATAATAGAATCATGATTTCTTCTCAGCATCTTGTTCCAATTCAATCAAAGTGAATAATTTCATCTTGTTTAATGAGAAACACTTGCATCAAAACATATCACAAAACACATCAACTTTCAATAAACATGATTAAACTAATTGAATTGATTAACAAGAGAAAACTTTTCTACTCTCATTTGCAGATTAAACAAATGGATTAAAGTGACACATCAACGGATCAATTTGTGAATAGTGAATGTGATCAAAACAACATGACATGAACTTGATGAAACTTTTCAACATTTGACTTTTGTTACTTTAATTTGTTATTGTTTACCAATAATGAATGAATTTTGTGATAAATTGTTGATATTCAAGGTGAAAAAACCTTTAGTTGAGTTGATTATTACACATTTTGTCATCTTTTTTATCTTCAATATTCTTCCAATCGCCATGGAAACATCATCGTCTTCATCTGTACAAATAACTTCACCGGCAACTGAGCAACCAAATTATTTAAATTCATCATCACCATCAGTTTCAATTCGTCCAACACATTCACTTGCACCTAAACCAGTGAAAAAAACGTCAATCAAAGTAACTCGAGATCTTTGCCCTTTGATGGATTCAAATGGTACTTCCTCAGGGTGTAGTTGTTATCAGTTTACCGATGGACTTTACGTAGAGTGTCCCTCAACCAATTTAGAGTCGATACGAACAACCTTGCAGCTTCTCTCAAGTCCCATTAAATCATTGACAGTTTGTATTCTTGGCTGGCATTAGCCCAGTTGCCCCCTCATCTATTCATCAACAGTACCATTGAATCGATTCACATATCATTTACCAGTCTAACCAATCTGTCTGATAAGGTGTTTAACGGCCTGTCAGGTTGCCTTCGTTCACTCTCCCTAGTCAACTCCAAGTTAACTCTCTTACCTCAATCTGCACTCTCAGGTTTACGCAGTCTTACAACCTTAGACTTGGAAGCCAATGAGATCAGTGAAATTGAAAGCTACACCACTTATGGTCTTCCCTTGGAGACACTCAACCTTCACGGTAACCAAATCTCGTCTCTTCTCGAGTACTCCTTTGGAGGTCTTGAGGCGACCCTTGAGAAGCTACTTCTTTCAGCCAACAGACTCGATGGTTTCCCATTGACTGCTCTTCGCCGACTCCGTAAACTACGAGAACTCAAGCTGTCTGGTAATCGCATAACCGATATACCAGACGATGGGTTCACTCGGTTAACTGCCCTGGTTAACCTCGATCTTTCATCCAATTTACTGACAACTTTGAGTGAGAAAAGTTTCATAACAATGCCCAAACTGGTCACACTTTCACTGTATAATAATAGGTTAACCTTTCTCGAAGAGCGAACATTTTTCACCCTTCTTGACCTGGAATCTATTGACCTTTCCCACAATTCTCTTCGAAATCTTCCCTCAGAACTTTTTAACGGCCTAACCAAGTTAAAGACCATTGACTTGTCTCACAATCATTTACATTCAATTGAATTTGGAACTTTCCACAATCTCTACTCTCTCCGTGAACTTTACCTTAACCGGAACAACCTTCTCCACTTGATTAACGACACTTTTTGGAACTCGACCAACCTTTCCGTTCTTTGGTTAACCCACAATGCTCTCCAAGACATTGAATTTGGTACACTTTATACTCTTCGATATTTGCATCAACTTCACCTTTCCTTCAATTCACTTCGCTCCATTCATCCAAGCCTATTTAAGTACAACCATGAACTTCGTTCACTTTCACTGGACAACAATTTAATAGCCAACATTCAACCCGGAACCTTTCAAGAGCTAGTTGAACTGCGTGACCTTCGCCTACAGCGAAACCTATTGAAAAAAGTTCGCAAAGGTGTCTTTTATTCATTTCCAAATCTACAAGAACTTCACCTTCAAAACAATCGAATTGAAGTAATTGAAAACGAAGCTCTTGCCTCACTGGCAAACCTTGAATTGCTCAACATACAGGGTAACAAGTTGATTGAAATGTCTGATTCTCTATCAAAGTTTCCGTCCTCATTGAAATACCTTCAGCTTAACAATAATTCCATTTTTACGATTCATAACGATTCGTTGACGGGTCAATCAAGTTTACAAATTTTATGGCTCAACTGGAACAAGATTCAAAAGTTGAGTAAACAAATTTTCTCTTCATGCAATTCCTTGGAAAAACTTTACCTGGAAAACAATGAAATATCAACCATTGAAGTGGACACTTTTGCCTCACTCACCCAACTAGTCTACCTTAACCTACAGAACAACAATCTAAACCATTTATCTTCAGGTGTCTTTCAAGGTGCAACCTCACTCCATGAACTTTTACTCTCAGGTAACCACCTAATGGAAATTGAACCCAACAGTTTAACACCTTTAACTGTAGCCCTTACAACCCTTGATCTCTCCCACAATCAACTTTACGTAATTAGATCTCACTTTTTCACCAACCTGACAAACCTTGAAACTCTTTTACTTTCCAATGTGATGTTGGAAGAAATTGATTCAACAACCTTTACTTCGCTAACAAAATTGACTCACCTTGATTTGAGTGAAAACAATTTGTCTTCTGATAAACTGGAAACTCTTTTACTCCCAGACAATCTCAATCACCTCAACCTGTCGACCAATAATGCATCCTCTTTAACTCAACCAACTTCCCTGTTTAACCTACAATCACTGCAAACACTTGACCTTTCCTTTACTCGATACCAGTCAAAAGAGGGTCACATTGTGCCCATTCAATTGGCCAGTTCACTTGAAGCTCTTTATTTTCAAGGCAATGGATTGACAAGACTTGATGAAAACTCTTTCGGTCCATCAACAACAATCTACTCAAAACTTTCCACTCTAGCACTTGATAACAATCTTCTTGAAACACTTGCTCCACCCGAATTGGGAATCCAGTTTCCTTCCCTGACAACATTTTCTGCTTCATGTAATCGCTTTCGTCATTTAGGTGCCAACGTTTTCCGCCACTATCAACACCTCAGCAACCTCAACCTGGCCAACAATAGTCTATCCATTCTCGACCCAGGATCATTGACCAACCTAACACACCTCAAGTCTCTCGACTTGTCCAACAATGTGATGCGTTACTTGGCTGAATCAGTGTTTACCAATCTAACTTCACTCGAGAATCTCAACTTATCAGGAAATTGGTTCCAATACATCCCCAACAATTTGATACGTTCCAACCTGGACTCACTGAAAACACTGAATCTCAATGATAATCCAATGCTGCGAATTCGTGAAGATTTAAGTGTTTCAGGAGCCTTTCCATCACTGACATCTTTGACCATCAACTCGGGCAATTTATCGATAATTGCTTCACACGATTTTTTCGGTTTCCCCTCATTGACATTCCTTTCCTTGGTAAACAATCATGTAAGCAAAATATCGCCCGGTTCCTTTCGACCTTTATCCTCACTGGTCAACCTAAACTTGGCCTACAATGAGTTGGAAATTTTACCAGAAGAAAGATTGTCTGGACTTGTGCACCTTGAATCGCTCAATTGTACCCACAATCACCTAGTCGAGATGCCATACTTTGGCCCATCAACCTCATCAACCCTCAAGTTGATTGACCTTTCACACAACCGATTAACCCGTCTCGATACACTTGGACATTTAGGTCATTCCCTTAAAACTCTACTTCTTTCGAGCAACAGCATCTCTTGGATTGCCAACAATGCTTTCCAAAACTTAACCTCTTTGGTTACACTCGATTTAAGGTTCAACTTTATTACTCACCTATCAGTGGTTCCACTGGAAACCATTGAGATAACAATTGATTCACTCTACTTAACAGGTAAACAACTCATTTAACCTCTTGCAAGACCAGACAGCGAACTAAAGTTAAACGAAAATTTTCCTTTTCTAATAAAATCATTTCTCGAAATTGATTGTCGAAGGACATGAAGAAAATGAGTTGAAAAATTGATTCAATTGCACTTGATTCACTTCTTCAACTAAACTTAAATGGCTTGTAAATGATGTTCAACATTCAAGTGTCTGTGTTAACAAGCATTCCCCAGTGGTCAATATTGAATGAACCAAGTTTGTCTTTTCCTCCTTTTTTCGTGTTTCGCCAATTGACAAACTTTTTTTCATGCAAACCTAGACAATTTGAGCAATGAAAATGAACACATAAAAAGCGTAAAGGTAAACATGAGTATGCAAAAATGAAAGCGAAGGTAAAAAAAGTTGACTTTTCATTAACTTGGAACGGAAGGGAATCACAAAAAGAATCAAATGCAATTGCATCTTCATCATTATCATAATCATCTTTATCCCATCCTTTGATCATCCAAATAATTAGATTCAATTTCGCTTTCCTAGTTTACAATGGTAATTACTTGTCATCAATTTTTTTTCCATTCAATTTTATTCAATCAAATGAACACCCAATCAATAAGAATAATAATAAATAGAACAATGTTTTTTTCTTTTCTCTCTGAATTTCTCTTCGAACCTTTTCTTCTCTTTTCTTTTGTCCATTCATTTATTCAATTTCATTGTATCACAAGTTCATTATTAAGGTTCAACCATTCAAAAAGCTTGTTTAATGGACTGTAAGTTGTGATAGTACATTATAATGTAGTAATAATTTACTGAATAATAAGCTTTTTTTAATGAAACAAGACTCAGAATTAAACTCTGATTACATTTAATTATCTTGAACAATAAAGATTCAATCTAAATGGTTATTATTCTAGTTTCATACCTTATCTGATGATCTTATTGTTTACATGAGCATCTTTTTATCCTCACCACTTCCGTTCAACTTGCAGGGAATTTTCAGCTTTTGTTTTTTCTCCTCATCGCTGGCGATTAATTAGGCGAAACATTTACAGAGTTTTACCATTTCGAGGTTTTATGAGTTGAACCCAGTCGAATGATACACTGACGCCATAAAATGAGCGCACAGAGAAATTGTCAGATTTGGCGCAAATTTTGCGCTAACGCTGATTAAATTTCAAGCAAAAAGATTCCTCCACCCAGCCTCGATCCCACTCATTCAAATATTCATGTCCATCTCCTTAACCACTGAGCTATGAAAGTTATTTAATAGTTATAATATAATTAATGATGTCTATCGTGAAAACAGAGATTAATACTTTTGTTTAAATGCGTTTAACACAATCAAACGCAAAAGACAAATGACTCTGGCGTTTTTTTTCAAAAAATATCTTGGTGAGCGTGAAACGCGGCTCAGTGTAGCAGTTTTCATTCGACTGGGAATTGAATCTTTATATTGACTTACTTTTATTGTTTTGATAGAGTTTCCATCTCAATAGAAATGTTTTTGAAATAAAAGTTTGAAAAGACGAATAAAGTTGAAGAGTTGAATATTGTATTTATTAGTTCAAGATAATTCCATTTATGCAGTTCTTGCAACATTATATTTCAGTGAGACAAAGTTTCGATGTAACTATCGAAAATCAGAAATCTTTTCATCTTGACATTGCTTTAACCAATGTATTGATAATCAATAAAAATATTCATCCAGTCATATGAATTATGCAACTAGCAACTGTTCAACTTATATTGCACTTGACATTGTGATAACAAATTGATAACATGACTTGGAGTTGCAATATTGTGTTCAGTCGAATGCAAAAACTCGACCTTTATTGTTATTCAAGGTTAGTATTTCGTCTCAGAGCTGGACAGCTTCATGAAGTCTCACAGTTAATATTCATTTCGAAAGAAAAATTTCAAACAAAGTATTTCACAGTCCTTCGTGAGAGTTTCTTCCAACTTAAACAGTTGATCGGAAAACTTGATCCAGTTATTCAAATGAGCCTCAATCAACTGTAAATAAGCAGATAATAACCCACGTTAAGCATTTATTAAACATCGTTTGTTCAGATGAGCATAAAGTTAAACAAGCTTAACGTGAATTTGGGCCATCTAATTGATTCATTCCTTCGATTCTTTGCTTGTTCATTTCTAATTAAGTAATGCATTTCAAACGTTGCAAATCAACTTTGAGTTTCCACAAAAACAATAATAACTTTAAGAAGAAAAGTCTCTTCATTCAATTTTAAAGGCAAGTTTATTGATGATAAATTCATAATTCAATAGCACCACCTAATGAATAATGTAACTATGAGACATATATTGTACTTGACATTGTGAAGCAAATTATCTTTCATAAGCTCTTGTTGAAGTCACAATATGAAATACATTTGACCCTTTTGTGATTTGCGGTTAATATCTCATGAAAGGATTAAATGGCTCTTCAATGTAATCATTTCCTTGCCTGATTGTGATGTACATTTGGATTGACATTAGAATCATTGAATGCTTTCCATTATTGTTTCCATTATTAGTACAACAATCAACTGTGATCGTGTTGGAATCGTAATCAAATTTAGTTTTTCTTCTTTTTCCTCATTTAATTCAATCTTTCAATTTGGTCAACTTAAAGCAAAAATTTTGTTTTACTCGACAATTATCAAATGATTGGTCATCAATCTTGTCCAACCATCATAACTCTTTACTCTTGAGTTGATGGAGCAAAATGTTTCCTCTGATGATGAAAAGACAATTAATTTACAATTTGATATCAACATGTTGCTGACAGAATCATGTAATTGATTTTGATTTGTGTTCATTTTCATTGATGAAACGAGAAAAGAATGATTGCAAGAAAACTTGGAATAGTTTTTTCCAAATCAATTAATCTTTACCATTTATTATTCCTTGCAACTTCAGACAATAATTCATTTCAACTTCTCTTTAAACAGGTAACCCAATGCACTGTGATTGCCGTTTATTGTCCCTCTGGGAATGGCTACAAAGTCATTCTCGTTTACTGGGTTCAGTTGATTCTGATAAAGAGTTGACCTGTGCTGGGCCTGATAAGCTGTTTGGTTCAATGGTCTTGAGTCTACATCCAGTTGACTTCTGCCCAATCCCAACCATCTCACTCTTAGAGGCTTACAAGCTTGAATCGTCAACCATAACGGTTCACTGGGAAGTTGCCAATGAAAGCCTTGTTTCAGGTTTCAACCTTGATTACCATTTAACCTCCGAACGGACTCCAATGCCGTTGAGTAAAGAGTTGTCGCCTTTACAACGATTCCTGACTCTTGAGCATCTTCAAAGTGAAACTTGGTACACAATTTGTTTACATGCCAATGAAAAGTATCTCAAACCTGCCAATAAGCCAAGAGCTTATGTTGTTGTACAACAACGAAATTTTGTTGAATACTCGACAAGCAACAGAAAATGTATCCAGGTGAGCCCAAAGAAAAATTCATTCAATGCTTATCATAACTTTACATGTTTCGCTCAAGCTCAATATAAAAATGAAAGGTTTATTTCGTTGAATAAACTAGCAAATCTCTTGTTTTCAAGATCAATACCTTGTGAAATCAAATTGTTTAAGCTCTTTTTGAACACAAATCAAGTGAATAAGCGTCAAAATTCTGTAGTTAAATTCAAAAGCAACAAACTTCTGATGCACTTGAGTTTGTGCTGCAATCAGCTTCTGTACCTAATGCCAAAATGTAACATTTTTGATGTGACTCAATTTACTGTTACTACAACTATGGAAAATCGCAAAAGTAAATTAAGTCTGAATTGCTGTTTTAAAGTTTCTTTTATAATAGCATGAGTCTTCAGGTAAAGTCGAAAATTTCGATTCTAAATGTTCCATTCATGTTAAAAGTTTAAAAAGTATCAAAGTTTGCAGTTGATGATTACTGATAATTGAACAATTAACTAACCAAACCATTTCTCCCAATAAACAATGCTTGTTAATTCATCACTTGCAAAGTGATTAAGTATTGATTCATTAAAGTCTTGATTAAGTGGAATGAGAAAGAAAAAAATTAGTAGAAAAAGTGAGTCTAGAATCTGATTGAAACAGTAATTGAAACAATCATGAACTAAAGTTGAATAACAAGAACAATGTAGAGAAAAATGTTGAAAATAACATCGAAAGTGATGCTAATAGTGATTTGAGTAGATTATTTTAAAGTGTAAAATTATTTCAATTGATTCGAATTCAATTGTTGAAATGAACACTTTTCCTTTTCTTCTGTGAAAACTTTTTCTTCTCGTCTCATGAATAGTTGAATAAAGTGCAAGAAAGGTTTGTTTAACAAATAATGGGACAAAAGTTAATGAATGTTGAATGAAAAGGGTAAAGGAAAGCAAAGTCGTCTGATGAAACTGTGATTGTGTTGATTAATTGTTGTTTAAAGATTCAATGGATTCATTTGAGAGAGAAATTCTCACATCATCAGTAACCTCATCACCCATCATCATCATCAGCATCATCATCAATAGTGAAATGGAAAAAGGAAACAAGTAAAAGGCTTCGAAAAATAGAGTCACATTTTTGTTGCCACTTTTTCAGTTCTCTATTGTTTCCTCATCTAATTGCATCTCAACCTTTTCCAGAACTGAAAGTTATCCTAAAACAAGAATAAGAAAGATGATAATAATGATGGTGAAAATGATGATAATGATGATGATAAAGACAAACTTTATTTCTCATTTAATGTTGTTTGCTTCACTCCGAGCTTGGTTACTCCATTGAAATTGATTGTGATGAAAGTGGATTTAAATTGAAAGGCATTGATATGAATGTTGTTTTCAAAGTTTCTTCAATGGAAAGAAATCCAAGTCAAGATGAAAACTATTTATAGATGAGCTTGAGCTTTATTCAGATGAACATTAACAAGATTGAAACACCCTGTAATCTTGGGAGAGACGATCATGATCGGGAAGGAAAAGAGGAAAAGATTTCTTGTTATTAGTTGATAATATCTGTTTCAATGTTACTCTTCATTCTGTTGTTCATTTTACCCTTTTTCCATCTTCAACTTGTTCTTTATTTCCCTCATCATCATCATCTTGGTTGGCAAGAAGTTCAACATTCGCCAACTTGCCAGTCTTCAGTGTTTTACACAGAATGTATCATTTCTCATTGAATCTTTTTTCTTTTAACGGCATTTACGATTCAAAGTTGATATATTTATATTGTTATAGATATAAATATAATTGTGATAGATGATTAGTTAACCAGATTATAAAAGGCTTTTCTTTTTCCTCTTCATTTTCTTCTTTCATCTTCGAATCATTGGTTACATTTTTCTTTTCATTTCTTTGCCTTTCTCTTCTTTTCATCATCATTATCATCACTTGAATGATCTTTAGTCTACAGTATTTATTAAATGATAAAATGACTCAATTTTATTCACACAAATGATTCTCACTCCTTTCAAATTGAGTGTTGGGATGAAAATGTTTTAACCAATTTTAATGAAAATTTCTTTATCTTTTGGTCATTATTTTAAACTAATCAAGCTCATTTGAATATTTTAAACATAAATGTAACCACATAATAGCAACACTTCAAGTTAATGTTATCATAAAGACAATAATAGTCTAAACGCGTAATTATATTGCAACTACATATTTAATACAATGTTGCTGTACAATGTTGGCCTGAGCTCTGATTCTGGAGTAAAAGGTGTAAAACTTTGTAATGCATAAATTTGCAAAAGCGACTTGATCTTGTGTGCTGTTTTGAAGTTTTTTAGAGAAACTTCTCATTCCGTTCAAAGAAAAGTGTTTAAAGTTTTCATCTGCACATTTATCGACAGGGTTTAATTATGCCCAGTTGCAAATTCAAAGAACTGATACAAATTTCATCTGACTTGCATTACTAATGTAAATCTGTCAACATCTTTGTTGACACGCTAGTTCAATATTCATTTTATGTTCCAATTTTAATTCCTTTGACCAAATCCATGTTGGAATCCATTTGAACCACTTCTGTACATGGAATTACTGCGTCTATTGCCATGATTGCTGAATCCAAAACCTTGGGACTCATATTTTCTGGCTCTGTTTGCGGCTCTGGCTCCGTCTATGCTCATATCCGAATCTGCTTCATTATTTCTATTTTGATAATAACCATTAGATCCATATATATGACCTTGAGATCCATATCCTCTGTCTCTGTCCACGGCTTCGGCTTGGTCAAAGGCTAAGGCCACATCTACTTCTCGTGCCATGTCCCTCACATAGTCTCTAGGTCCATATCCAGCACCTTGAGACTTATAAGATCTGTCAGCGAATTGGAATGGTGATTCAACTCTAAGATCCACATAACCGTTGCGCTCAGGGGCACGTCCATACATAAGACCTTGGTACGCATATACTTGCGTTTGGGCTGCAATCATGAGAATAAAGATAACTAGAAAATTATCGATGAACATTTTGAAAGAACTCACTTATAGCAAACTCCACTGAATGATTATCAATTCCCCATTTGAAGGCTTTTTTATTCCATGGAATTGAAGATAAAGTCTGTTCAAGTAACGAACATGCGTTCATATCTTTTAATTGAGGCGTCATTCACTATTCACTCTGTCTAAATACAGTAAATAAATAAGTCTGGCTTTGAGAAAACTCGTGCATCTTTTCAATAATAATCTCAAAACAGTCAAAACAAATGAAATGAAATAAGTACTGATGACGTTAAATAAAATTTAAGTGATCAAAATCTGAAAAATTGGCAAAAGGTTAAAGCATTGAATTCATGGAATCAATGAAAGTGCTGGTTTACGATCTTTGACAAACTTCGCAGCCTTGATCATTGAACTTCTTCAAGAAAACAAAGTCCAAAACGATTGTAAATTTCAGATTTTATTTTCCAAGTTTTACATTTGTTGAAATCAAGAAAAGTAAATTCCCTGTTTTACTCTGTTGATTTGTATACTTTATCACAATTTTTCTTTGCTTTTTCTTTTCCCTGAAAAATGATGGCTAAAAGAAAATGAAAATCTATTCTTTATTGAACTCCAAAACACTTGACTTTATCCAGATAAAAGTAGTTGATTCTTTTCTCTTCTTATTCTTTCCATTTTCCTTGGTTGGTCCGACTTTTTGTGCTTCACTCATCAATATAATATTATAACCAATTCCAATTGCAATATCAACCTCAAATCTCAAGTCATTTTGTAAAAAATAAATCTTTCGCTTCGTTTCTCTTCTTCTCATCCACATCATCTTGAAAGTCCAAGAGGATAAAGAAAAGATATTAACTGAAAGTAGCCTCAAGTAACAACTCGTCTGTATTATATTTACTACTCAATTTGACTTTTTTTGCCTTCTTTTTCTTCTGTTAATAGAAAAGGTTAACATTTTCCTCTCCTCAATTCAACCCTTAAAGTCCATTAAATTTTGAAGCTCAATATATTCCAATATCCATTCCATGATGACTCCATTTGGACAACTTTCTCTTCCTTTCATCCCATTTCATTTCATTCATCAATCATTCTACTTGTTGGCATATTAAACTGCTTATCATCATGCAATTCAATCCAAATTATCAACAACAAAATCAACAGAAAACTTGAAACTTCCAGTCGTCTAAAAGTAAAACCAAACTTGACTTTCAATGTTTTCAACGTTTTTCGGATAATTTGTTCATTTAATCTCGAAACATGAACCTAATCAAATTTACTAGTTCAACTTTTGGTAGACAATCAATTAAATGTGAGGTTAGTTTTTTGCCAACAAAATATGTCCACAGAATGATTGATCTTCCATCATCATTGGCATCATCCTTTTTCCATCTTGGTCCAGTTTCCTTGATTGTTTTCATTAGATGTACAGCATTTATGTTGATTGACCAACATTAATTTCAATGAAGATTCTCATTATTGATTTTCTGATTCCTAATTTTCTTGTTCAATCGGTTTTTTTTCTCTTTCCTTTTTTTCATCCATTTCGACCCAACAGTTTAGCCATCATAAACATGAGGCAAAAAAAGAAAGAAAACAAAGATACATTTCAAGGTTCAGCATGATGCACTATAAGCCACATCAGCATTCCTTTTCCCTCAACCATCTAAGCAACTCTTCCTCAGCCATAATCATCATCTTCTCTCTTCTTCTGGTTTGCTACCTCAGACAGTGTTTCTTTTTTTCCTTTTTATTCACTTTGATTGCTATTCCAGGTTCCATAATCATGTTTCGCCCAACTTCACAAGACTTCTTTTTTTTCTCTCCACTTTTTTCATCATGTTCATCCTGTTCATTACATGGAGCCCATCGCTCGACAAATCAATAACAATCAACCTTTAATAGCTTCTAATACTAGAAACTTGTAAACCTTACACTTTACCCAACAAGTAGAGACACATTGAGACATGAATAACAGTACACTAGTAGTCAGGGTTAAGTTAAGAAAAGTGGCGATTTTTTTCATAGTCGCCATCTAACAAGAAACAAAAGTACCTTTAAGATCGAATTTAATTTTCATAGATTTCATTGTTTTGTGTTACTTAAAGCGATAAATACTCGAGATGGCGACACTTAAAAATTAACTTAAATCTGACCCTTTTTTATTAACTTAACCCTGACTACTAGTGTAACTCATTGCAAGTGAACTAACATGAATATCAGTTGGAATGAGCCGCAGTGTTTCCTTAAATCACTTGGATTCTTTAAAATAATATTTTACAAATTCTTTCAAACAACTTTTTCAAATGCAAAACACTCGTAATGAGATTTTGAGAGATCAAAATCATCTTAAAAGTCCATTTTGAATTCAAATTGTACTCCAATCAAGGTGTACAAAATGTTCATCCTTGCATTTTATCGTAAGCTTTGATTATACATCCAAAGTTACATTTGTGGGTACAAATTACATATAAAATTACATTAATAACATCAATCAATCAATGATAACATCAAAATTGATCTTATCAAGCACCTTATTATGTACACACGTATATTGTCACAAAAAGATGCTAAAAAATTTCATTTGATTCGGATCTAAAGGAAATGATTGTGATTACCTAAGAGTGTTCGTAATAATAAAAGTCTTTGCTCATTTAAATGCAAGAAAATATGATCTTTATTATAAAACGATTATTAATTTCAGATTTTTTTTCATTTCAAAGTCTAACAACTATAACATTTGTGAAATGAAAAAAGTAAAACTTTGATTCCCTGTTTTACTCTGTTTATTTGTATGCTTAATCACAAATTTTCTTTTCCCTGAAAAATGATGGTTAAAAGAAAATGAAAATCTATTCTTTATTGAACTCCAAAACACTTGACTTTATCCTGATAAAAGTAGCTGATTCTTTTCTCTTCTCATTCTTTCCATTTTCCTTGGTTGGTCCGACTTTTTGTGCTTCACTCATCAATATAATATTATAACCAATTCCAATTGCAATATCAACCTCAAATCGTAATGAGATTCTTAGAAATCAAATATCAACTCCAATATCCATTCCAATGCAACCTATTTTGAACTCTCAACGATATAAGAATAAACTTTTACTTATTTTCTACCAGACTTTGAACAGATTCCCGGAAACCGAAGTTTGGATAAAGTTTTAAAGCTTAAACTACGAAAATATTTCTCGAAATCAGCCAAAAAAGGTCAAATAAAGCAACGACCTTGAATGACCTTGACCTTGGAATATGACAATTGAGTATCGCCCAAATATCCAGTAACAAAATATCTATCCTCTAGGTCACTCAGGAGCAAAGATATAGCCAATTTACAACGGGAAAATTAGCTGAAATGCCCTGTAGTTCTAATCATATTTCTGACTGAAATTTTGCACGAAATTTTGAGAGATCCATTTCTAAAATTCACTGACCAAATCTTCAACTCTCTCCAACTGAGAATATGAATCTAAACATTGAATGGTTTCATCAATTTGATGGTAAAATTTAATGCAATTGAAAGGCCCTTAAAGGCATGAAATGCTAGACATGATCAAGGGTCGACTTTAATCACAAAATCGATTGAAAAACAAAACTCATCAGTAAACCGAGTTAACTTCTAGATTGGAAAAACAGTGAAACTAGTTAACATTCGATAAGTTGGATGAAAACTGCACAACAATCGATAGATGATAATATGGGTAGCCAAAGAAGAATAATAAAGAACATTTGTATTCCACTCAAGTTTCCACCATAAAGACGAGTATAAAACAGGATTAAAAAAACGAAAGAAAAGAGACAAAATTTTGAAAGCAAAATGTTTCGCCACACAATTTGCCCAGAAAACGGACCAAATTTCAAACCAAGAAGAAAGAGAAAAGTAAAAAACACTAAAAAAATTATACAATAATTTACTTTATATCCTCAAGTTTATTTCGAGGTAATACAATGAAAGAATTCAATTGAACGATAAAATGAGTCAAACAAGAGAATAAAGAAAAAAATGAAAATAATAGAAATCCAAATAACAAAAGAAAAAAAATCAAAATCTTTCCCAACAAGTCAGATAATTCCGTCTACATCCAAGATAATATTTCAATGAATTATCAAATAAAATGAAGCTCATGAAATTTGTCCATCAGATGGTGAGCTTAACTTCTATTCTAAACATGTAAACGTATTCACTATAACCGGAAACAGATTACTTTCATGTAATACAGAAAAGTCCAGACACTTGGAATTCTCTTGATCCTCACTCAAAACACAAATAACTTTCCCTCCCAGTTGCACTCCCAGTAGCTACTCCCAGTTATAACTGCCAGTAAGATGGTAATAACAGAGTCTTTATTAACCATCATTTATTCCAATATTTATCATTTCTTCATTTTCATTTCTTTTTTTTGTTTCTCTTATCATTTCTCGTAATTTTCCATTTCCTCAACTTTTTTCTTTTCCATCTCATCTCATATACTTTTCTCATTGAATCTTTTGTTTTACTTCCGTTTCTTTTTCATCTTCAAACTTCTTCCCAGCTTCTAATGTTTTAATAACCTTTTCCTTTTAATAAACATCATCATGAAAAGATGAAACTCATTCCAAGAAAACATCTTTATTGCGATTCGCAAGGAAAGTGAATAAAAACTCTTTACTCTGATTTCCTTCCAATTCACCTGATTCCTTTTACCATCCCAGTTGTGCGATGCTAAGATTGATGTCATTTTTGGCTTGCAACAATTGAACCTTTTTATCAATAAAAGTGCAATCAATTCGAAACAATAGAGGACAAAGGTTGATTAAGAAGATAAAGCGAGTGAAATAATGGAAGCGAATTAAATGTTACCTTCATTATTGTTTCACTTGATAAATGTTATCCAATTCAAGGACAGTAAACAATACAATATTGACCTAATAATGTTTCCTAAATAATAATGTAAAGGGAAGGGAAAAAGAAGCAAAAAATGATCAAGAAAAAGGGAGAAGAAAAAAGTTTGCTAAAAATGATTTTTAAAAGCTACAATCACTTACATTTGATTTACCGCTTTTCTGTGTTTCCCTCAACTTTGTACATTTTGCTTTTGAGCACTCAAGAGATCATTGATTTACTTTGAAAGCAGCTCACACTTCAATGTGATATTCAACAACAGAAAGAAAACAAAGTTTTTTTTTTCTTCTTTTTCCCCATTTTCTAATGTTTGTTGGTTCATTTTTTTTCTTCTTCCCTCTTTTGCTCTTTACCTCTTCTTTGAACTATCATATAAATCATTTGACTTATTGGTTTTGTTGTGACACAAAATACTTTTATTTTATGTTCACACAGAATTGAGTTTTTCAAATGAAACTTGATAATATGATTGAGCTTGACGAAAATAAAACAGAAAAAAATGCTTGACATGAACATGAAATGAAGAAAAGTTAATAAAATTTTCTTATTTTTCCTTTGTATTTACACTCCTTGCTGTTGCTCTTTAGGTTCGTACATTATCTGCCAATGAAAAAACTCGCCTTTCTTTATCAACAGTTGGCATAATTGTTGGTGTTTCCATTTGTGCTGTTTTCATTATTATACTTGTTATCCTGTTAACGTCAATTAACTTGAAACGGAAACGTCGACGTCCAGCTAAAGATGAAGTCCCTGAAGAGTACATAACGTATAGACATTTTTCCCTGCCAACATCGGAAAATGTTTACTCTTGATTGATAAAGTGAATGCAACTCACATAATATTGATCAATCATTAAATGCTGGTAAGTACAAGAATCTTCAAATCAAAAGATTCGCCCTCTAAACTGAACAATTTAAAGGCAAGAGTTTCAATCAGCCCAGTCATGATGAGAAACATTCTTCAAACATATTTTTTCTCTTTCTCTCATCTCAAGGAGAAGAACTTTTCGAAAAATAATTTCAATGAAAGAAAAAGAAAAGATTTTAAGAAAAACGAATGACTTGAGGAATGACGAATGTACTTCTTTGACTTGGATGGCTTACATGTAAGAGTTTTAGGCTCTCTAGAACTATCGGGTTCGAGTTATACAGATTTCATGTGTGAAAGTTGAAACAAATTTCAAACTTTTCTCCTTGAATTGAAATTGCAATTAGATAATGATTTGAAAAGATAAATGGATTAAACGAAAAACAAGGTTAAAGAAGATTATTTTCCCAAAAGGAAACTGTCAATAATCAATTTGATCCTTTCATTGTTTCAGACGGAAAACCTCAAATCGAAAGTAAAAGGCAAATCTATCAGAGGTTATATTTCATGAGGTTAAAAGAGTTTCACACAAAATCTCGAGTTTATCACAACCGCTCATTTTCACCTGCTGAGCTTTTCACTTTTTGTTTCTCTCAACTTGTAATGGAATGGAATCAGTCAATAGAGAAGAGATAATCTGAACGAATGAGTGAAAATGTTGATTAGCGATGGATGATAAAAGAGTAGAGTTGAATTGAAGGTAGAATGAAATGGTTTCTCTTCTTTTCTCATTCATTTCTTTTCTCCTTTTCTCGTGTTCCAAGTGTTTCAAGAAAAGGCTATAAATTACAGATCAATTGTATACCTGCGTGTGTCCATTGAACTAATCAGGAAATTGACAAGATACATTGAATAGCCACTGTGATCCGTTCAAATCAACTCTCAATTCGTTGGAAGCAACTACAAGTCTAGAAACTGAGCCAAAATTGTTACTCTTGTTCCCTTGAAAACTCTAACTTTACCTTTACCTTTGTTCAGTAAAAGCCATTATGTTAATGTTTCCACCTCAACCTATCACTTTCCAAGTGTTTATCTTGATTGAGTTATCCTACAATTTATTACCTTTAATACACCTTTGAGAAAATTGTTCAACAATTTCATCTCAATTCAATTATCATTTTCTATCTTTTCTCATCTAGAACCATTGATCAACCTGATATGGGCAAGGAATGGTCAAGACAGTCTTCACTGTTTTCATCGTCGATAAAAGTGCTCAAATGTTTGCAAATTTTTCAACCCAATTTCGCATCGAAATTCCAGGTTCAAGAGTTTTTATCATGAGAATGTGCATTTTACAACAAAACTTTTGCGCCTTCAACTTGTAAATATCAAGCAATTTCATTGCAATGTAAATATTTAATGAAAGCGAACATGAAAAAAGTATTGAAAATTGTACAAAAAAATGAATTTTTTACAAATAAAGACTTTGGTAAGAAGAAGACTTTTTTTCATCAAATATTCCAATTCAATAAACGAAAAGGTTGTAAACCAAATGTTGGAGCAAGTGCTGATAACGTGAGAAAAGCAAAAAGTCACAATTGTATCTGATAAGCAATAAAAGTGTGTTGATTTGGATTGACTTTTTTACATTTTGCTACAGTTTGCACTTTCCAAGTCAAACAATTTTTGACATTTTACCTCAATCAGAATGTTTCCATTCTTTCCCTGACTCTCATGAATATAATGGGATATTGCTATTGATAATGAAGGAAAAGGTTAAGATGAAGGAGAAGATGATGAGAAGATGAAGAATGAGGGAAAAAAGGAAGATAAACATGAATGGTATCTATAAGGGTAAAGATGAGGTAAGGAAATAAAAACAGTGTAACCATCGATGCATGAAATTGGATGTTACTTTATCTGAGCGAGAAAAGGTTATAATGTTGACTTGAAGCAACTTTGTTGTACCCAAAGTGGCACAAAACTATTTCAAATAGAGTAACCTTTAACCTTGCAGAGAAGAAAATAAAATGATGAAAATGTGAAGGTGAAGGAGATGAGGGAAGATGGGTGAAGATAAAGATGGTTAAAGAGTAAAGAGGATCAAAGGAACTTTCAAAGTCCGCTTAAGCTTGTGAAAAGATCTCAACAAATTCTGCTTTTGTTATCTTCTACCAAAATCATTGAAACTCAGAGTTGCACATTTTACTTCTCATCGTGTTCATCCTTCATCTTCTCACTTTTCATTCACTTGGCCATTTCACCTTTCATCTCTCACTTGCAGCTCATCTCTTTCACCATCAATTAATCTCTTTGCCATCATTTCATCCATTGAATTATAACTATCATTAAACTGTACGACACTTTTGTTTCTTTTTGCGTCAAATTACTTTTCCAATCTTTCATTTCAAATTACTTTTTGGCTTCATTTTTTTTCTTCTCTCATTTCAACCCTTTTCAGATTTGAGCACATGTGGCCATCATGATAAAAGATCTTTGACTTTTCGCTTCTTCTTTGCATTTAAATTTACAACAAAATGAAACAAACAATGCTCATGAGATATTTATATTTTCCAGGGAAAAAAACTTTTTTTCTTCCATTGAAACTCAGTGTAACAGAAAGAAGGAAAAATCAGTTTAAATGTGTTAACTTGATCAAGTTTAGATTTTTCATTTACCTTCCATTATCATGTTAATGTGATTATTGAACAAAAATTGGTTCAAAAGAGATGAGCATACTTTTGGAGAAAAGAAAAAATGGTGAATTTTTTTCATTAATAAGTTGATGAAAAGAAAGAAGCTCAACGAAATTAAATGATACAATTTACCTTTTATTATCAAGATAAATTGTCTTCTGATGAGATGAAAAGTGAATCTAAATAGACATGAGTGATTCTGTTCATGAAAATAAAAAAGGTTGAAGCTGTTCAATCAATAGAGAAAAAAGTAAATAAAATTAATTTCAATTTGGTTTGCAATTTGAGAATCAATTTTTCAATCAATTTCACGATTTCAATTTGAAATTTTTAGAAACTTTGATTCAATTTTTGCTTTCCAACTAAACCTTGCACAATTCAATTTTATTAAGTTTTATTTGCTTCTGCGTTTGTAAACACCGAACTGACAAAATCAAATGAGTAAAAGTTTGTTAGATTTGAGTCTGTTTTTCGAGTTTCCATGCAAACTGGAAAAAGACAGTTTTTCAATCACCAGTCTTATCCTCTGCTTCTGTTCATAATTACTCACTAAAGGATATGAGTGTTAACATACCGTTCAGTTAAGCAGTTGATATTGAAAAATAGGTTATCCTTCCAATAGCAAGATTCAAGAACATGTGACAAAAAACGACTTATCTGGAAAATTTTGTACTCGAATAGAGCGACCTTCAAATTTTCTATTAGGGGATAAAATAATGGATTCACCTTGAATGACCTTGAAAGTTTTCTAGGCATTTTCCTCATTATTTTTCACAGCTCAAGTCTAGTATCATGATCAACATTCTATCAACCTAATCAAACTTATGCAGCTCTTCAGTGCAGTCACAGGTTAATTTTTTTGAAGATTTTATTGTGACAAAGTAACAAAAAACTTTCAACTAAACGCAGTCAACTTTTAACACATATAGAGAGATTGAATGAATAAGGTGCACTGGTATAATACAGGTGATTTGGCTACTATGGATTCCAAGGGTTGCACAAAAATTTTTTGGTGGACTTAAAGATATTATTATTCGAGAGGTTAATATCTATCCTGTCGAGATTGCAGATGCTCTCATATCACACCCATTGCTATCTTATGCAGCTGTAAGTATTATAATGAATAAAATAAATTTTTAACATAAATTGTACGATTTCAATTTGAAATAGGTTTTGGCATACCAGATGACAGACTTTGCGATATGTGCTCGGATCAAATTTCATGATTAATCTAAAAAATTAGGCGAAGAGCAAGTGATTAAATATTACAAAGAAAAGGTAAACTTTTTATAAGATTTCTATCATGTCTCTTGTACTGAATGTTTCGATTCTATTTTCAGATGGCTTACTTCAAAGTTCCAAGACAATTGGTTTTTTCACAGAATTTCCGACAACTGCCATCAGTAAAGTTCAAAAATACTGGATGAAAGAGATTTCAATGTATATGTTTAATCAGGTTCAAACCAATCCATGATACCCATAAAATATCATTGTTTCCATAACCTGAAAGAAAAAAATCATTAAAATAACTGTACAATTATAATAGTAAAAAAAACTTACCAGATTGAATGAATTGAAAATTGTTGCAAAATATTTAATTGTTCTAATAAGTAATATTTAATGAGATCTAATATCTACGATATATACGCTATTATTATATGAACTGCATTATATTCTGCATAAACTGGGGTTTTTTTACTTTTCTACTTGTTTGTGTTCATAACTCAAGAACGGTTGGTGCTACAGACCTTAGGTTCAAACCATGAGCTTTAGCAGATTGCAGCACCATAAGTCTCAAGGTCATCCAAGGTCGATCCGCTATTTTACCTCTAAATGGTATTTCTGAAAGTGCAAATTTTTTTAGATTAGATACCAGGCAAGGGTTAAGAATGTTTCCATACCATGTAGCTGATCAATCGTTTCCAGATATAATCTATCACACGGGTTGGGTTTAGGCTTGTAACCAACATCAATCTAAAAAAATTGCACTTACCGAAAATGACCTTCAAATGTCAATTGAAGGACAAATAATCGTTTGACCTTGGATTACCTTTAGACTTCAGACTTATGGTACTGCAATGCTAAAGCTCATGGTTCGAACCTAAGGTCTGTAGTATCAACCGTTCTTGAGTTATGAACACAAACAGGTAGAAAAAATAAAAAAACACCCAGTATGCAACCTAGAATATCGCAATCATAAAAGTTGTAATTGCACATTTTAATTTAAAATTTTTAGTTTTTTTTCTTTAATTTCCAAAATTCCAAAAAATTTCTTTGATTGAAAAGTCTTTTGTTTTTGTACAAAATCAAACAAAAGAACTCATAAAGAATTCCGATAAACGATGTTTTGTTTATTTCTGTTGTATAATGTTCTATTGAGCTTGATTTTATTTTGAAATAATTTGATGTTTCTGGCTTTGAAGTTATTTTATTGGATATTTTATTGTCTCATCTTTACCAGAAACGTGAACAGGGATTTAAAGTGAACAAAACTTGTGAAGTTTGTTCCTTTTTATTTGCTATAAAAATGTTATTAAATTTCAAATGATTGCATTCTCTTCATGTTTTTCAAAACTCTTTAGATTTAGTTTCATTTAAAAGGTTGAAATTCATTAACAAAGTTTCACCAAATCATGTAATTTCAATAATTTCGTTTCCATCAATCAACTATGAAAAATTCTCCTGAATTCTTATCTTTTGTCCACTTCAAGTGAAAACAACTTCAAATACTTTTCAAACTCAATTCTGATGTTGATAAAATATGTAGACTTTGATGGGTTTGATCTTTCATGATCTGATGGAAAAAAACTCAAATTTGATCTTTCGATGAACTACTTGAAGATTTTTCATCATGGAACAACAAATGTTCGTCTGTTCAGCGAATTCTCCATTCATTTTTTACATTCGAAAACATGTTAAAATGTTGTTCAAAGGTAAATGTTCTGAAACGAGAGTTATCAAGTTTCTCTTAAAAATCAACAGAATCATGAAGTAATCGTAATGGTGCATATCGAGACTTATTTAATTCAGTTTCAATATTCAATGATCCAACCATGAAAAGAAGTTTGAAACGGAAAATTGAAAGAAAAAAAAGTTTCATCGTTTATTCAGCAACCATATGTAAGACATTTGATACAATGAGATTTGAATAAATGAAAAGTGAATGAAACGTAAAGGGAAAACTGAATTTACATGCATTCCATTTATGTGTTTTCAGTAAACATTATCTTTACATCTTCTTCTTAAAACAATAATCTTTGCCATCTGATGATCATGATAAACTGGAATTCAATGTGAATATTGTGATGACTCTGAAGTGTGCTAAAACCTCCTCATGATTCATCAAGATTTTCGTTCATAAGGCTCATGAAAAATGCTGAAAATTGGCACTTCGTGATTGACATTAAACTTGGCAGAATCGAGTAAACGAAGTTTAAAAAAATGAAAAGTTAAATAAACTTTTTGACGTCGAATGTCATACTTTTAAGTTTTCATGATGATACAATTTTTTGCTGAATCCGTTTATGATAAAAAGTAGCTCCAAATTATTTGCTTCTTCAAGCATCATCATCATTATCATTACCATCATCATGCTGAGAAGGTGAAAAAATGTTTGCTCTTATGTTTTGTAGAGTGAAAAATGTGTCAAAATAGAGGTGAGAAGGGAAAAGAAGTGAAAAAATGTGAGATTTTTTCTTGCCTTTTCTCTTCATTCCTCACTAATTTAGTAAAGGTATGAAACTTGATGAGGTTGAAATTGAGCTAACAAAATTTTTCACCATTTAATGAGTTTT